TTTTAAGTTAAAGTACGTGCACTTCAATTAAGCGCATACTGACTTCTCATGCACTTTTCTTAATTCTTGATTAAGAATATTTATGCTTTTACTTGATATTTATTGCAGGTATCAGGAGAAAACTATTCACTATAGAAAGTTTTAAAGCGCACATCAGTTGAATATATTTATATGAGTTTAATCAATATCCTGAATTGAAAATCAAGAATTAACGTGTGTTATAGTCAACCTGAGGTTAGAGTCAACCGGAAATTCTATCTTAACCTCTTTAGATTTGTCTGATAAAATTAATGGAAGTTTGATGTTACCTCTACAGATCCTTGAGACAGTGAAATTACATTTTTTAATTTTGCAAAATTACATTTTGTAATTTCGCTTATCGCTTTACATTTTGTAATTTTGCTTATCGCTTTACATTTGGTAATTTTGATTTCGCTTCACATTTTGTAATTTCACTTTTCGCTTCGTATTTTGTAATTTCGCTTTTCGCTTTACATTTCGTAATTTTGAATTTTCATACTCATTATTGGAAGAACGAGTATCCGTCACTATTTTCCAACTTCAATAGGGATTTTTAAATAAAAAATGTTTTTTTTTTCGATTGGCATTATATGAATGCCATGCAATTTATGTGATATTGGAGTAATTCTTACACGTTAAAATGTACATTTTTCGTACTAAAATCATGAATACGTAAAAAAGCGTGACGCAGCATTTGTAAATGATAACGAAATTAGAGTGAGGAAAATATTCTTACTTCTCTCCGCATGCTTCACCATACACTCAAATGAATCAGTGAAGCACTGTGCCAATAGTGATGTATTTGTGGCAATGTGTTGGTCATTTCGATTTTCGATACAACCAAGTGCTAAAATCTCTGAGTCAGTTCCCTCAAGTTGACTCACATTATCAGTCACGAATCATTAGCTACATATCATACCCTTCACTACCTTCACTATCCTTCACTACCTTCACTATCCTTCACTACCTTCACTATCCTTCAATACCCTTCACATTCTCAGCCACGAATCATTAGCAACATATCCTACCCTTCACTCTAGACCCGCCTTATATTGAGACCGAAGGTTACATTCGGCATGAATGTTTTGCTTGCGCCTGACTTGCTCCCTTCCGTATACGGCTCAACTGTGACACTAGTGTAAACAATCGTCAAGGTAAAATGTGTTAACGCTCGCGAGTTTGTTTTCACCAAGTGCGAGTCGAATGATTTGCGAGATATTTTAATTCTAATGGTTGGAAAAATCGGCTACGATGGATAATTTTACTGTGCGTGCAATTTTTTTACTGATGTTCGAAATCGAGCGTTAAGTGCAGTTCTATATCATATTTTTACATGATATTATATATTTAATTTCAAAATTGAGCCAACTTTCAAAAAATGAGGTAGAAAGTTCCAGAAAATTGAGTATTATTCGTTGTAGGATTTACGGTATTGCATTTTGTGGTGGAAAATATATTAATTTGTATTGTTGCTGTCCGGCGAATATTTCACTCCTATATAGGTAGGTTTTGGATAAATAGTGAAAACTCAACTTTCAACTTAAATTATACGTAAACTATTGAGTGTAGCAACCTGAGGACGTTTGTACGCAACAGAGAACATTTTAAAGTGACTTTCAACTTAAATTATACGTAAACTATTGAGTGTAGCAACCTGAGGACGTTTGTACGCAACAGAGAACATTTTAAAGTTGTCGTACGTGGCGGCAACCATCAGTGCAAGTCATTTTGCGCTCACTAGAACGTATCCTTTTTGGGAAGTAGGCTTGTGACAATTTTGCTCCGGTTACTAATATTACTCATATTACCAATATTATCTTAGTAATGTTGATATACTACTAATATTGCTCCGATTACTCATGTCAGGCGGTTAAGAGTTAAGATGCCACCCCCATATCGCATCATATTGTACCCTGTTAAGAAAACCACCATTTAATGGTTTCACTTGCGTTCTATATATAGTGGACGGTCGGCACGTGAAAAAACACGGTATGACCGTTTTTATGCAAATTTAAAACTAGATCGAAACTCGTACAACATCTGAAAAACGGCTACGGTTTATTTTCACGTGGCGGCCGGTCACTAGAACCCCGGTGAAACCGTTCTTTTTTTTACCGTTTTTTCGAACAGCGATAATGTGCCTGCCTCTTCATATACGGTGCAAAGATGTAACTACTTTCCCCTCTCACATCACATATCATTGCATAACGCACCTATTTACCCCTACAATGCAATAGGTATTACAACTCAACCTCACATCACATCAACACTGTTAGAAAAATCACCGTTAAACGGTATTACCGGCGCTTCAGTAACCGCCCGGCACGTGAAAATAAACGCGGTGTTGCCGTTTTTATTCCAATTTTACACTAGAAACCCGTGTATCCTCTTAAAAATATAACTCGGTACTCACTGCAGTGAGTGACAGAGAGCGCATTTTCTCGTCAACGAAAACGTGGTCACGGACGGACGGACGGACAGATGGGGCATACAGACGGACGGACATGACGAGCACAATAGCGCCTTTTTCCATAAATAAGAAAATGCGCTAACAACGGCGAATCGGTTTATTTTCACGGGGCGACTGGTTAATATAGAACGCCGGTAAGACGACCATTTTCAGCGCATTTTCTTTCTCATTTATGAAAAAATGGCGCTATTGTGCTCGCCATGTCCGTCCGTCCGTCCGTGACTTCACGTTTTCGTCGACGAGAAAATGCGCTCTGTCACTCACTGCAGTGAGTACTGAGTTATATTTTTTCACTATTTTTCGAACTGTGAATAATCCGGTCATGCGTATCGAACGTGACAGCTGAAGTAGGCTTTGCATGTACTAATGGGATTTAACATTGCAATTATTGAAAGAATTGACTCCATGTAGCAAGAATGCAAGATACTTATTTGTAAGGACCTAAACAATACGTTTATATACACGAGGCTTCGCAAGGAATAGGATGCAACACCGCTAAGTATAAAGCTTCCTGCATCGTAATTTTGAACCAGAATTACGTTTGTTGGCTGAAAAATTCGTTTCGTTGGCTGAGATGTATGTTGACTGAGTATGTTTTGCTACCGGCGGTTATGATGTCAACCCTTCATGTAGTCTTGCAATTGGTTCAAGTGGCTGGCAACAATGAGGGTCTAGCATCTCGTAAATGGTCTACAATGGTCTCATGTGCAGCCCTCGTGAGGGCAGTTGGTCTCTTGCTGTCGCTCATGTCGGGTGTGGCTTTCTTCATAACATAACACAGTGATGTCGGCGCTAAAGAGTAGGCCTGATGTGGCCTGTCGCCGATTCTTTTCCTTTTTGTGCCTTGTTCACAGAAGATCTAAAACCGCGTAATTTGACCGGATCATTTTAAGACTGACGATAGTTTGAAATAGCTACTAGACTTCCACCGGGTTCGATATGGTGCTAGGCTAGATAGATAGATATATTCGAGGGTATCGGTGAAAATTTTCTTTAAGTTTGAGCTGCGTCGGTGTAACGCTGGTTATTGGATTTACGTTTTCGGCGCTTATACATAACTGGAATAGCCGTTAATTTTCATGCTATTCAAGCAGTGATGTAAGAGTTTGCCTGGTGTTCAAGAATTGCTTTATCGATGTGTGGATTTTGTGGCAATGAAGTTTCATGTACATTGGAATTTATGTAGTTTGATTGTAGAATTGCGGATGAAGCAGATTGATGGTAGGATTAGCTTAAAAGGCAGAGGATCGGTTGCATATTAATAAAGAGCTTGTCCAGTTTGCATAGAATGCATCCGAGTTTCATGGCAAATGGATCGTTGGCACGAAATATTGAGAAGCTTTATGATAGGAATGAAGTTAGCATGAAACGTTAAGAAGTTTTATGATGAACTATAATATATACGATTTCTGAATAATATAGTGGAATTTTTCTTTCTGAAAATGAACAAATCTCATGACGGAAATTGATGCTGTTATTGAATATGTAGAATATTCACATTTTTTATGATAGAAAGAAAGATGAAAATAAAAAATATTTCTCATGACAAAATTTGACTGTCTTGCACTAAAGCGGAATCTGTGAAAATAAAGCAATTATCTAAGAGAACTAGAGAAGAGATCACTTGATTTTGCTGAATTAATGAAATTGATAAATTGAAAACAAATAATAATTGAATAAAATAAGTTTAATCATAAGATGGCCACCAGCGCAGCGCTGCCTGATTACTATCAACCAATCTTCACTGTCACGTGAGTTCTCTTCACTGTTCGAAAAAACAGTGAAAAAACGGTCTTACCGGCGTTCTTGTAACCAGCCGTACCGCGAAAATAAACAGTTTTGCCGTTTTTAGCGCATTTTCTCATTTATGGAAAAAATGCACTATTGTGCTCGCCATGTCGTCCGTCCGTCCGTCCGTCTGTCCGTCCGTCTGTCTGTCAGTCCGTGACTTCACGTTTTCGTCGACGAGAAAATGCGCTCTCTGTCACTCACTGCAGTGAGTACTGAGTTATTTTTTTTCAGATGTTACACGGGTTTCTAGTGTAAAATTGGAATAAAAACGACAACATGTTGTTTATTTTCACGCGCCGGCCGTTTACTGAAACGCCGGTAATACCGTTTAACGGTGATTTTTCTAGCAGTGTTGTAACGTAACGTGCTCACGCCAACATATAATTATTATTGACTGGTACGGAAAGTGGGCTATTAAAATTAAAAAGGGTGTTTCTCAAGTTATTAAGATGAGAAATGGAAAGTGATACATTTGTTGAAATTTAGATATCTATCAAGAATGGAAGTGTTGTGCATGTTCTTTACTGCAGTCGGTCTTATTTATTGGTATGATGGATCTGTATTCGTTTTTAATCTATATTAAATTCTAACTATAACATTATTTATTAATTACGTTGTGAGCATTTGTTACTGTTGATCAAACGGAATTGTTAAATTTATTTATATAATATTAGTTGAACGTTTTATGTGAATAATTTAAAATTATTTCATTTTGCAGTAAGAAAAACGCCATCATTCTACGCACGCAGCTGTCGGTCCGAGTCCATGCTATCATCGGTGAGTGACGTAACTATAATATTATTTTTTTGTTAACTTATTGAACAAGTAAAATTATGATTAATTAAATTAACTATCATGTTAATTTAGGTAATCAATAAGTTTTACATGGTGACGATTAACCTCGATGTAAATTGAACACGGGCGCTCGGATGAAAGCACACCGGGATTGGTAGATGAAATAGATTATATTTTGTCTTGCAATTAATTTATTTCAATGGTTGGGGTAATTTTGGCTGTGTTTCGCACTTGAAGTTCCATTCGTATCTTTTTAACGTAAGAAAAACAATGTAACGACTGGGTTTTCTTAGAATTGTGTATAATATTAGACGCTCGTTCAGTTTAAATTTATTGTATCCAAATCTAACAGTTCCACGAACGCTTTGTTGAATTTACTCGCTGACGAAGCGTGAGCGTGAATGTAACCAATTACTAATTTTCGATGAAACTTAGGAATGTAAAGACCTTAGCAGACGCATCTGGTCTCACACTCACGAGTTTCATGAATTTACTCGCAAACGAATCTTCAGCGTGAATATAACCAATTTACTAATTTGCTATGAAATTAAATAATGTAAAGACCTTGGCCGATGCGTCTGGTTTCACATTCATGAGTTAGAGTTACACGAATTTACTCGCGAACGAATCTTGCGCGTGAATGTAACAAATTTAACGCGCGGTGCTTGCAATTCTCGCTCGTTATGAATCGCCTTCAGCTTCAATTGTGTCAAGTGGCGTCTGTCATCTGCTCCTTAGGCGGTCTGACCGCAATGCCTTAGTTTATCCGCACTATACTTAACACGTTTAACCGTTGTTTATCCGCACTATACTTAACACGTTTAACCGTTGTTTATCCAACATTATCCTTCACAAGTTTAAAGCGCCTCAGTTTGAACGGTGGTGGAACCTATGATGGCACTCGGTCTAGTCGTGCTGTCGCTTCTTATTGCCTGTCGCGTGAGGATTTGGTTTTGGTTTAATTTTTGGTCATTCACCGAATTGCCATTTTCTTGTTATGCACCGAATTCGCCAATTGTTTTGTTATTTACCGAATTCGTAAATTTTTGGTTATTCACCGAATTGTAAATTTTTGGTTATTCAACGAATTTGCCAATTTTTGGTTATTCAACGAATTTGCCAATTTTTGGTTAAACACAGAATTTTCCAATCCCACATCTTGCTGACAACCGTGAAGCAAAATTTATTGTATTCATTCTTTTCAATGCACAGAGCCATAGTTTAAATACATAGTCATTGACTACCGAGTAGCTATAATTTAATATTTCGGTTTTATCAAAAGTATTGTCATAGTTGAATGTCATTAAATTGTTGTCATAGTTGAATTCATTAAATTGACTTAGTTCATTCATTCACTTAGTTCATTAAGTGGCTTTTGTTTTTAGAAAAACCATATAGTTTAACACCTTGGTCCGTGACTTCAGAGCAGGCATATATAGTTGAACAAATTATATGCTTAATAAATTATATTAATTACATAGTTGAACAAATCCGACTTATAAAAACTACTTCTCTGATCATATAACTACACAATTCATAGCCACGTGTAATCCAATGACCGGCTACACGCACATTCGTATAATCATTGTAATTTATTACGATTAAGTTAACTCACATGCCTCATTATAAAGTCATAATTTCAGACATCACTCAGAATTTTTATCTGTAATTCATGACCAAATTAATTTCTGACAGTAATTTATGACGTTTTATATAATTTATGACTTAATAGATTATTTATAACGGTCGTTAATGAAGTATAATTGAAAGTTTCCCAATAGATTATTTTCTTAATGACTTAATTGAGTGTCTCTTAATAGATTATTTCCAACTATCATTAATGAATTAATTGAAAGTTTATTAATAGATTATTTCTAATTCGGCCGTTAATGAAGTAATAGTGAGTTTATCACGGTAATTACCGGCTCCAGAGAAGCTGCATCACTCTGAGGGTCGGGAGCTGCGGCGGGCGCTGTTCTCGCTGAAGCAGATCTTCCAGGACGACAAGGACCTCGTGCACGCCTTCGTACAGAACGATGGTCTCACCTGTCTTGTCAGGGTCGGCACCACGGCAGACCATAACTACCAGAACTACATACTTAGAGGTGCGTGGTGTGGTGTGGTAGCTTACATAGCATAACTACCAGAACTACATACTTAGAGGTGCGTGGTGTGGTGTGGTAGCTTACATAGCATAACTACCAGAACTACATACTTAGAGGTCTGGTCTGATGGCTTACATACGTACCATAACTACCAGAACTACATACTTAGAGGTCAGGTGATGTGGTTGCCCCTATTTCTTAAGTGACTTAGGATTAGCCTCATCGTTTAAGGTATGATGTGTATAATAAAGACTTGCAAGTACGTGGAGATAAGCAGCGTACACTTGCTGCACTCACAGAGGCAAGGTTGATGTCATATTGTCCAGTTCATGGCGCTACATCTACCTATAAAGCTGCCCGCAGCCTTCGTGAACAGTTTTGAAAATACGTCTAAAATAATATTTTTATACCACTCAATTTTTATGCCATTCAATAATATTTTTATACCACCTTTATACAATACTACTTAAATATATTTTATACCACTTTTATACCACTTAATTTTAATTTTATTTATAGGATTCCTGTCAGATCCTTTTATTAAGTATTCATTGCTTTGCCAGACGTTAAACATCGCCTGATTCTTCATTTTTTACCATTTCTATCAACAATATATTTTTGTTGGTTATCGTTCACCTCCCATTTATTTACATATTCAAATACCTACCTACTTATTCATCCCCTTATTCATCTCCTTATTCACCTAACTTTTATCCCCATCTACACCCTCATTTGCATACATAATTTCACGTCTATAATAATAGACTAAAATAATATATTAGTTACCACTAATAATTCATTATTACGTACATAATTTAACTATTTAAACTTATCATCCAGAGACTGTACACATTTGCAAAGATAATTTCACTTATACAATAATGGACTAAAATAATATATTAGTTAATACACATAATCCATTATTACATAATTTTATTATTTAAATCTAACCTTTCATATGGTTGACACTGTACAGTTCTTATATTATAATAGATTAAAACAATATAGGTAGTATATCAGTTAATACACATAATTCACTATTACTTACAAAATTTAACTTTTTGAACCTTAAAAAACGATGTAAACTTTTAAATTAATTTAAATTAAATTTTTAAATTTATTTAAATTAAACTTTCAAATTAATTTAAATTAAACTTTTTAAATTAATATAAATTAAACTCTTAATTAATTTAAATTGAACTTTTAAATTAATTTAAATTAAACTTTCAAATTAATTTAAATTAAACTTTTAAATGACTGTACTCATTTGCAAAGATAATTTCAGTTGTACAATGAGAGCCTAAAATACTATATTAGTTACTACTCATAATTCATTATTAGGTACATAATTTAACTATTTACACCTAAAAATTATTTAAACCTTGGATATTTAAACCTAACCTTTGATGTTCTTGACACTGTACAGCTCTGGGCCAGGTGATGCTGTACGTGGATGGCATGCACGGTGTAGCAGAACATCCAGAGACTGTACAGTGGCTGTACAGTCTACTGGGCTCCAAGTACAGACTTGTGGTGAAGACTGCACTCAAGTTGCTGCTTGTTTTCGTCGAGTACACTGAGAACAATTCACTTGTTCTCGTCAGGGCCATCGAGAACGTGGATCTTTCCAAAGGTGAACAGTCTGAGAAAATTTTTTTTTTATATATGTAGGATTAGTTTCACCATATATTAAACATATTGAAAAAAGTTGATAATTTTTGCTTGTTTTCGTCGAGTACACCGAGAACAATTCGCTTGTTCTCGTCAGGGCCATCGAGAACGTTGATCTCTCCAAAGGTGAAGTGTATGAGAAAAACATTTTTTATGGATATATATAATATTAGTTTCGACACATATTAAACACAATGTAAAAATTAAATAGATTTCTTTATGACGATACATAATAGTATTAGCCTCGCCATATATTTAACACACTCGAAGAGAGAGCATTGCATTTTTCTAATAAGAATATCAAATATTATTAGTCACTATTATTAGTCACTAATATAATAGTCACAATGGCCACTGTAAAACGTTAACATCTCCTGGTGAGCACACTCAGAGAAAACAATGAGACAATTTTCCTCTTGCGGAGATCCGATATTATCAGCCTCACCCGATTTTATTTGATTCAGGATTGACAATTTCTTAAGTACACATGTAAACTTTCAAGGAGAGAAATGAGTGGGACGTTGTCCAAGAAACGATGCACTTTTAGCTCTGGCGTAGGCAACCATGACTCAGTTTGCCCAGGCTGAAATGCGTATCAGTGCTACGTCAGCTATCCACCATTTTTGGTGAAAAAGCGTGTCAAAATTTGTACAAAACCGTGTCAGTTTTTGTACAATAACTTTCTCAGGTTCCTGTGTACAAGTTCTATATTAGTGAACCTAATCTGATTATTTATTCAGATATTACGGCGCTAGGTCTACAGCATCTTGATATTACGGCGCTAGGTCTACAGCATCTTGATATTACGGCGCTAGGTCTACAGCATCTTGATATTACGGCGCTAGGTCTACAGTCTCTTAACTTCTGATATTACGGCCGTAGGTCTACAGCCTCTTAACTTCTGATATTACGGCGCTAGGTCTACAGCCTCTTAACTTCTGATATTACGGCGCTAGGTCTACAGTCTCTTAACTTCTGATATTACGGCGCTAGGTCTGCAATCTCTTAACTTCTGATATTACGGCCGTAGGTCTGCAGCCGTGGGCTACGTTGATGCGTCTGCTGGAAGGGGCTGATGGTCTGGACATGGAGCTGCAGACCCACGCTATGACGCTCATCAACAAGACCCTTAACGGCATCCCAGACCAGGATAACTATTATGATCAGACCGACTGGCTCGAGGAGCTCGGCATGGAACTCCTTGTACAGAAGTGAGATGTCATTTAATAATTTGTTTAATTAATTTGTTTATTTTTAGCGCATTTTCTCATTTATGGAAAAAATGCACTATTGTGCTCGCCATATCCGTCCGCCTGTCTGTCTGTCCGTCTGTCTGTTTGCCCGTCTGCCTGTCTGTCTGTCCGTCCGTCCGTGACTTCACGTTTTCGTCGACGAGAAAATGCGCTCTCTGTCATTCTTTGCAGTGAGTACTGAGTTATGTTTTGTATATTTTATATGCAAAACTATGTTTTAATATATTTTAAATATTTATCTCTATTTTATAATAGTTGTATTTTAATATATTTTATATATTAATTTTTTTTAAAATTCTTATATTTTATATATTTAACTTCATTTCAATATAGCTCAATTTTAATATATTTTAAATATTTAACTCTATTTTAATCTACTTATATTTATATATATTTTATATTGCGCAGGTTTCTTCACAACCCAAATAGTGACCTGGACCTGCTACAGCAGCTCACCATTTATGAGGCCGTGCTCAGCTATGAAGATGGTGATGATGAGTGCCGCACTCGCACCATCGACCCCACCATCAGGTGAGTTATGGTAATGGTGCAGGTCATCACAATCTTGCTGGTCGTGTCGATATTTGTCTAAATTCTCAATACATTCTTCTAGTGTAGGTTTTAATTATTGAATAATTATGAATAATATCACAATAATATTATTAATTATGAACTAGGTATATTATTATAAATTATTATTTATTATTATTTATCATTATTATTTATTATTATTATTTATTTGAAAATAAGCTTACGAATCAAACATGGTGACTGACGGAATTATTTTTATTTACATTCATTTATTTAAGCAATCATCCTCTCTTGTACAACCCCACCAAACCCCGAGGGTTGCAAGTACCCCATCCCTCAACCCTCTCAACCTCTCTCCCTCATTTATTATAATTATTATTATCTATTGCTATTATTATTATTGTGATTATTATTTTTTATTATTAATATAATGAATAATAACCCCCCCCCCGCGCAGACAAGCGCCGCGCACGAGCGCGTGTGAGCGCGACGCGCAGGACCGCCGCAAGTCCCGCAGACACGCAGGCTCCCCCGCCCCCCCCAGGAAGATAACCATCAAGGTGGGTCATGGTGACAAGGTGGGTCATGGTGACAAGGTGGGTCAGGGTGACAAGGTGGGTCAGAGTGACAAGGTGGGTCATGGTGACAAGGTGGGTCAGGGTGACAAGGTGGGTCAGGGTGACAAGGTGGGTCAGGGTGACAAGGTGGGTCATGGTGACAAGGTGGGTCATGGTGACAAGGTGGGTCAGGGTGACGAGGTGGGTCAGGGTGACAAGGTGGGTCATGGTGACAAGGTGGGTCAGGGTGACGAGGTGGGTCAGGGTGACAAGGTGGGTCAGGGTGACAAGGTGGGTCATGGTGACAAGG